TGAAGTTAGATTGCGTTAAAGCAAAACTTTAATATGTAAATATGTCTAACTATACAAGAAGTACCTTTCAAGGTCATCCTTTTCACCTGGTATCTCCCTCACCTTGACCTTTATTAACTTGTGTAAGCTTGTTAACGCTTACGACTTCATTTGTTTCAACCATACATGGATTTAAAGGAGCTGAGTTTTTTCTAGCTTTTGCCGTTGTGTTATGAATATCTAGTATGTCATTTTGATTTAGAGATGTTATATCTGAAGGTACTTTCATAGGTAACCACACATTAGCTGTGCAAAAAGGTTTAAATATGGGTGTTGCTTTATTTATAGTATCTGAAGCATTATTTTTTTTAGCCATTTTTTGAGCATATTTCCACAGCGCTCTGTCTCCAACTGTAGAGTTGGGTGCACAATGACCACCTATGGGTATAGAAGCAATTAATGCCTTTGAATTACCTTTATTAAATACAGTGTTATTGTTAGCATCAGGTGTTACAATTACTTATTGTCATCACTCAGTTATACAAGGTGAAAGAAATGCATCATTGTATGGAGCGGCTTTCACTATAATACTAGCCTTAATCTTTACAGGATTCCAAGGGGTGGAATATTCTGTTTCTTCATTTACTATCTCGGATGGAGCTTTTGGATCTTGTTTCTATTTTGGTACAGGATTCCACGGTTTACACGTTATAGTTGGAACTATCTTTCTAGCTGTGGGACTTTGACGTATATATTCAGTACCAATTAACAGAGAACCATCACTTAGGGTTGGAATCGGGTATACTTTACTGACATTTCGTGGATGTGGTCTGGTTATTTTTATTTTTATCAGTATACTATTGAGGTAGCTAAATTTTAATAAAAATTATATCTATTTAAGTATAAAAACATTTTTTTTTATTATACATTAAAAACAGTTTGCTTTATTTGCAAAGTTTTATCCGTTTTCAATAAATATATTTATATAAATTTTATTTATACTGCAGTGTTATATTAAAAACAAATATATTCTTACTTTGGTTTTTTTTGTTCTTTTTTTCGTTATTTTTTTTTCGACTACTGTCTTTTACTTACTTCTTTTATATAAGTAAACAACAGAGAGTATTTGTTATTGAGTTTGATGATGGCTCTGAATGAATGCTGTTCAAAGGCTTGACACATGCTAATCGTACGTTATATATTAACATATATATATAAAGTGGTGTAAAGGTGAGTATTATATATCTCGGTTTACTTAAAGTAAGGGCAAAATCTCTTATAAAAGATAAAGGAAGAAATTTCGCTTTAAGTTGCTCATGATATCATTCAAGTAAGTAGTAGTTAAGGTAATTACATAACTAGCTTTATCTTGTAGTCATAACTGAGAGGTTTATTGACCACATTGGGCCTGAAAAAATCCCAATGCGTATAGTACAGCAGTGAAGAATCTTGGTCAATGGCCTAAGGGCTGAACCAGCAATTTGGGAGAACGTATATTAATTAATGTAAATAAAGTTCTAGATAGATAATTGATAATGACAAACTTCTATCTAAAAGTCTTGACCAAATCTTGTGCCAGCAGTCGCGGCAATACAAGTAAGACTAGTATTATTCATCTTTATTAGGTGTAAAGGGTACGTAGACGGCATAAGCTATCTCGATAAGAGTACTATTATGCTAGAGTTTAATGGAAGAGGTAGATATAAGGGTTACCTGTGTAGTGATAAAATACGATGATACGGGTAGTACGGATATGCGAAGGCAAACCTCTATGTATAAACTGACGTTAAGGGACGAAGGCATGGGGAGCAAATAGGATTAGAGACCCTAGTAGTCCATGCAGAAAATGATGAGTGTTATAGATTGTAAAAACCATAGTCTATTAATGAAAGTGTAAACATTCCACCTCAAGAGTAATGCGGCAACGCAGGAACTGAAATCATTAGACCGTTTCTGAAACCAATAGTGAAGTATGTTATTTAATTCGATGATCCTCGAATAACCTCACCACAATTTGAATGGTATTAAAACTAAATTAGTATGGATATAAATGTTAATTTATATGTATATTAAATGTTTTAATACACACAGGAGTTGCACGGCTGTCTAAAGTTAATGTCGTGAGACTTTGGTTAGATTCTATAAATTGGCGTAAACCCTTGTTCTATTTATATAAATAATAGTGCGGTGCGGCGACACTGTCAATGCAATAATGGGGACGAAGACAAGTCATCATGACCTAAATATTGTGGGCTATAGACGTGCCACTTATGTTCGTACAAAAAGATGCTAAGATGCGAATTTAAGCTAATCTTTAAAGCAAAATAAAATATGGATTGTTTTCTGAAATTCGAAAGCATGAAAAAGGAATTATTAGTAATTGTGAGTCATTACATCACGGTGAAGTAGTCTCAGTCGGGTACTAACCACTCGTCAGGCGCTGAAAGTAGTATGCGCAATAAGTTTGGTTGCTTTTTAATCCTAATAAAATATATACAGATCTCCTTTACAAAGGTTATATATTGAGAAAACAATATATAGTTATAGTACTGCTATAGCTATATAATAAAGGTATTACTAGGGTGATTTTCGTATGCGTGACTGCGATTGGTGTTAAGTCGAAATATGGTTCGTGTAGTGGAAATTGCACGGGAAACACTAACACTCAAATAAAAAATTGCTTAAAAAAAACAAAAAAAAAATAATTATTTATCTTTCTTGGATATTAATAATGGTTATATTTTTAATTATATCATTATTGCTATCTAATGCTCTTTCTACGAATAAGTCTAAATCTCTGCTATATTCACGTAGTGTTACTTTATGTTTAATAACCATTAGTTTTTTACTCATAAACGGATTACACATAAACCCCTTAGTAAATGGTATAGGTATATATGGAGGGTTATTTAATGTAACTTTAATAAGTCAAAGTATAAACATATTTATATATTTACTTACAGGAGTAATATTAACGCTAAGTTCTTTTTATCCCAGAAAAATTTATACTAGCGGTATATATAACACATCTTCTTATAATATACTTAATTCAGTTAAAAACATTAGTTACGATATAAACAGTATATCTAATAAAACTAGTAAACAATTCAATATTATAGAGTATAGTTTAATAATAGTGTTTGTAGTTACAGGAGCTATGTTTTTAATGAGCACTGCGGATTTAATATCTATATTTTTAGCCATAGAATTACAAAGCTATGGGCTTTATATATTATCTACATTATATAGAGATTCTGAAGTATCTACTAATAGTGGTTTAACATATTTTTTATTAGGAGGATTATCATCCTGTTTTATATTGTTAGGTTCAGCTTTATTATATAGTAATTCAGGTACTACTAGCTTAGATAATATAAATATAATTAATAGCATATGTGACGTAAAAGAGTGCACAAACAGTATTTATACTGCATCATACATGCAGCTATGTATTATAATAATGGTAACAGGGTTTTTATTTAAAATTAGTGCAGCTCCTTTTCACTTCTGATCTCCTGATGTTTATGATGGAATACCTACTATCGTAACGACTTTTGTAGCTATAATACCTAAAATATCTATATTCATATTTTTACTTAATCTGGTTTATTATACAGAATCAAACTACATAGATTTTTCATGAAAAACAATACTATTGATAAGCAGTGTGCTATCTTTAGTAATAGGATCTGTTCTGGGTTTAACTCAAACAAGGATTAAAAGATTATTCGCATATAGTACTATAAGTCACGTAGGGTTTATATTACTTGCATTATCTATTACTAGTACAGAGTCAATCCAAGCTTACTTATTTTATATTTTACAATACTCTTTAGCTAATCTTAACGGGTTTATAATAGTTATTACTATAGGATATAGTTTATATTTATATAGTTATAATGATAAAGATAACCAAGAAAAACTTATAGACCAGAACAATTCTCCTATACAGTTAATAAGTCAAATTAAAGGATATTTTTATATAAATGCTTATTTAGCTTTAAGTCTAAGTATATGCTTATTTTCATTTGTGGGTATACCACCTTTAATGGGATTTTTTGCAAAACAGATGGTTTTAAGTGCTGCATTAGATAAAGGTTATGTGTTCGTTACTTTAGTTGGTGTTATTACTAGTGTTATAGGTGCAGGTTATTACCTAAATCTTATAAAAGAAATATTTTTTGTAGAAAGCTATTATAAAAGTCATAAAAGAATATTATTAGAAACTAACAATAACAATAACGATGAGTTTAAGCAATCAACGTTAAATTTACATAATACATCTGTAAACAGTAGTTTAAGTAGTACCATATCGGTATTAACTTTATTATTAGCTATGTTTATTTTCATACCTATGGAATGATTTAATATTATAAGCATATTAACTTTATAGTAAAAAACACTTAAAAAAAAAATTAAGCATATTAACGTTTTAGTAAAAAAAAAAATAAATAAAAGATAGTTACAATAATGGTTTATAAGTCTCAAACACATAAAACTTACAGGTTTAACTAAGAGAGCTTAACTTAATGGTAAAGTATGTGACTTTTAATCATTCTAATATGAGTTCAAATCTCATAGCTCTTATATATATAAATACTTGATCAAATTTACACGGTTTTTAATACACATAAAAAGAAAAGAAAAATAATAAAAATAAAATACACCTTTTTTTTAGTTATAGCCTGGTTAGCATAAAAGTAATGTAACCGTTTTGTAATCGGTGTAAGCAAGTGCGATACTTGCACTGGGCTTAATACGTTAAAAGTAGAAAAAAAAATATATACTAGTACTAAGTAGTTAGCGTTATTACTGGTTGTTTGTATTATATTTTTTTAAGGAAAAGTCGCTATAGGTAAGGCAAGATATTTGCTAAATATTGTGTTTATACACTTGATGGTTCAAATCCATCCTTTTCCGTGCATAATACATTAATACTAAAACTATAAATGAATCTGTTTAACTTTTAATCTCATTTCTATTTTTTCTTTATATTTTTTACTTTTTAAATTAGTAGTTAAAAGAGTATAGTTTAATAGGTAAAACAAGAAGCTTCAAACTTCAAATTATCAGTTCAAGTCTGGGTGCTCTTGAAAAAATAACAGTAAAAATAAAGTATAAGTTTACAAGGTAAACAAAAAGTAGTATGTTTATTTTATACAATTACTATATTGGTTATATTAAAACAAAACTAACCATTACCTTTTTTTTCTACTAGGTTTCTTAACTTAATAGGTAAAGTGTATTTTTGATAAGAATATGTTCGACGTTCAAGTCGTCGAGAAATCAATAAAAGAAAGATATAAATATAACTTTTAAAATAAATTTATTATGGCTTGTTTTGCATAAAACAACTTATAATACTTCTAAATCGAATTAACGCGATAAAAACAAATATAATTATACTTTTTTCATATGTTTAAAGTTATATATAAAAGAGAATTGGCTGAGCGGTTTAAGGCGGTGAGCTTGAAACTCATTTAGTTATAAAACTACATCCGTTCGAATCGGATATTCTCTGTTAGAAATAAAAGGCTTAAAAATTAATTATTTTTTTTTTAGGTAGTACGGGTTAGAGCCGGGTTGGTTAGGCGCCTCATTTGGGTTGAGGATTAGTTATGTTCGAATCGTAATAACCCGATTATTAAAGGTATACACATAAAAGTCTATCTTATTTATATAAATCTTGTTTCAATTATTAATATTAATGAGAAAAAAAAAAATGATAGCTTAAACCATTAGGTACGTGTATTATTATTATATATATATAGGTATAATGACAGATAAGTTTATTTATAGGATAATTAACTATAAGTGTGCATAAGTAATTTATATACGTAAGTTTTTTATATAATAATTATGTAATGTACTATTTGACCCTTAATTAGGGTCTAAAGTATATAAAGAAACTATTACAGATATGCTGCTTTGTATTAAAGATTACTAAAATAAGATAAATCTAGGAAAAATCCATTTTTAAACGAAGTAAATTGAAATATCTTAGTAACTTCAGGAATATAAATCAAAAGAGATTCGATTTTGCAATTAAACAAATTGAAACCGAAATGCCTGTAAAGTAAAACGTAATCTATTATGTTTGAATTAAGGGAAACCTTTCTCTAAGGCTAAATATAATACATAAGCAATAGTGAACAAGTACCGTGAGGGAAATAGTAGTAAATAGTAGTTTTATAAGCAGCTCAAGTAATTATTTAAATATATGATGAGAGCGTACCTTTTGCATAATGGGTCAGCAAGTTAATGTTAGATGCGAGAGAGTTGAATCCTCCTAGATAAACCAGTTATTAAACAATGAATGAGTATCTAACGTTAGACCCGAAGCCTAGTGATCTTACCATGATCAGGATTATAATAGTCCGAACGGGTTACCGTTGTAAAGGTATCCGATGAATTGTGGTAAGTTAGTGAAAGACAATACTGACTAGGATAGCTGGTTTTCTGCGAAACCTATTTAAGTAGGTGGTTCGAATAATATCTTAGCAGGTACAGTATTATAATCCCAGGCAAACCTTGGTTTATAAAATAGCAATAAGTACTATTTTAATACAAGCCAGTTTGCATACATTGGGGGATCGTGAAGATTTTATCAGTGGGAATTTGCTCTCGGAATGGCTAAGATATATTTTGAACTCTCAGACATAGTACGATAAGGTTGTATGTCTAAAGGGAAACAGCCCAGAACAAGAATTAAAGGTTCCAAAATTATGGTTAAGTGAAAATAAGGAAGTATTTTTCGTAAACAACCAGTAAATAGGCTTAGAAGCGGCCATTTTTTGAAGACCTCGTAACAGAGCACTGGTTAAAAGGTTTAATTAACAAAGTTGGTTAAATCACTCAGTTTAATGCTCCGATGATTAAACGGATCTAAACCATATACCGATATCTTGTCTATAAATAGGATTAAAAAATAAAATTTAGTTTATATAATACATACTTATGTAACTTATATATAATGTATATATAAGTAAATTTGTTAAAAAATGTAGCTTAAGTTTTATAAATCTTTATTTATAGGGTAGCAGAACGTTGGGTTAATGTTTGGTAAAGTTTCTAATTTATTTTATCTTAGACACCTTTACGAACGACAAGAACTAAAAAAATCAGTATTAGTAGTGTAAATTTTTGTTTACATACTTTTAGCTCATTAGGTTGATAAAGTTCACCTAGTGAGTACTTTAAACCTTAATGGTTTTTGAAGTATAGGTTTTTTTTGGGTCTAAGATATACAATAATCCCAATAGAGAATGCTGGCATGAGTAACGAAAAAGGGATTAACCCCTCGCCTTAAGCTTATGGTATTGTAACAAAAATAACGTAACGGCCCCTAAATTTATAAATCTATCCTAAAGGATTAAATGATGGGAAAATTCGCTCCATAGCTTAGATTGTATTTACAACGTTTAAATCTGTTTATAACGTTCTGGAAAAAAAATACTAGTCCAATATAGCTTAACTCCACCTCCCATAGTATCTTGGGCTGACGATACTCAGAGCCGGGTGTGAGTGGAGAACCGTACCTAAATACTACCACCAGTAAGCAAGTAGAGTATACAAAGGCGTTTGAGATAACAATCATTAAGGAACTCGGCAAAATGACTCCGTAACTTCGGGATAAGGTGTGCCATTATAATTTATATATAAAGATTATCAAGAGGAAGCATAAAATAGTGTTGTACGACTGTTTAATTAAAACAAAGCACTTTGCATAAGATGTAAAATCAAAGTATTGAGTGTGATTTCTGCCCGATGTTGGTAAGCTAACGAATAGTTCTAGTTTTAATCGGCTAGGATTAGAAGGAACCCCCAATCAATGGCGGCCTTACCGATGAGGGTCCTAAGGTAGCGGAATACCCTGGCCGTTAAATGCGGTCTTGCATGAATGATTTAACGATACAACAGCTGTCTCGATGATTGTCTCAGTGAAATTGGAATAGCTGTGCAGATACAGTTTACCTCTAGTTAGACGAGAAGACCCTATGCAGCTTTACTGTTGCTAGCAATTGAATATGCTTAAATAAGTTGTAGTGTACAAGGTAGTTGATTAGGCACACTTGAAACGCCTTTACTTTATTTTTCATATTAATATTATGGGTACGAAATACTACATATTTGGTTTGGCACTAACATAGTATTGCTCAGATATAGTGTTATGTAGCTATTCTATAATGATGTAGCCCTACGAAGGAGGATATTAATGACCAACCTTACTGTATTTGTTTGACAGTACGAGTTTGTTTAATACTCCATTCTTTAATTTTATATGACTTATTCCAAAGATTAGATCTATATAACAATAGATAGAAAACATTTGCTAGTAGATAGTTTATGCGGGGCACAGATCCCATAAATAGTACCTGGGTGTATCCAAAGTTAATTGTAAGTTAAAAATGGTTTAATTAACTTATAAGTTAAGTTATTTGAATCGTTTTTAAATACATATAATTTATAAAACTTTATAACTTATACTGTAGTTTTTCATTAGTTTGCTACAAATCATTTTATGATTTATTCACCTACTGTTCTATTTAAGTAAGATTTATTATATTTATTTTAGTAAGATTTTAACTATATGGAAAATAGTTTTAAAATTCAAACACATAAATAAATTCAGAAGGTTATAAGGCTGTTGCAGCTGATAAACGAGAATGAGAATATTATTCAACTATCTGAATTGTGTGCGCGCTTAATTGTTTAAAATACCATATATATTAAATGAGAGTGATATTTATTTTTAAAGTTTAATGGCTTAATCTTGCTTTACTGTTTGACTTACAAGTCTATCAGTCGCGTAAGCGGGGCATACGATCACAAGACACAGAAAGGAAAGGTCTTGGATTATTGAAAAAGCTACGCTAGGGATAACAGGCTAATTGCGCCAGAGAGTACAAATTGAGTGCGCAGTTTGGCACCTCGATGTCGGCTTAGCTCATCCACATGAATGCAGAAGTCATGAAGGGTTCGACTGTTCGTCGACTAAAGAGCTACACGAGCTGGGTTAAATACGTCGTGAGACAGTATGGTTTCTATCTTCTAGAGGAAATTAGAGTAAAATAAGGATAGCCCCTTCGTACGAAAGGAGTTGGGTATATTAACCTATGGTTTATCTGTTGTTTGTAAGACAATACAATACAGAGCGTGTAGTAGTATATGTAACCTGTATTGTACAATTATATTATTAACAGAGTGTACAGTAACATCTGTACCATTCCGCAGGCATTGCAGTAAAGCTATGTTAGTTAGAGAGAAGTGCTGAATGCATATAGGCGCGAAACTTACCTTAAGATACTCTTAAATATACGTGGTACAATACCACGATAAATTATATTTTTCATAACTAAACTTAATTTAACATGAATTTGTTAAATTATAGTTGTGTTAAGTATATATAGGTTTTAGCTGGAAAAACAACAAGGTTTTAAGGTACAAAATACTAATTTTATTAAATACTATGTATTAAACTTATAACATTTATATATTTTTTTTGTTAGTTTTTATATAACAAAAAAAAATATCTTTTTGCGTATTATCATAAATAATAAAAACGATATAAATAAAAAAAAATAATTTGTTTAAACCTAGGTAAATATCAGTAAACCTACAATAATTAAAAATGTTAAGCTAAGTTAACTGTTTATATATTATTTCTACGTTTACTGAGTATACAATTTAAATATTAATTAAATTATATATTTTTTTAAGCTTTTAAATTATAGACTAGCTTTTATGTATTAAAGGCTAGTAAATGAACTTAAGATATAATGATATGATAGACCCTTTGAGGATACAAAATACGCAAAGTGTAAAAGAAGAATCTTCCAATATATCTATATCAGTTGAACGTTGATTCTTATCTAGTAATGCCAAAGATATAGGTACACTATACCTTATATTTGCTTTATTTTCTGGTCTATTAGGAACGGCGTTTTCTGTCTTAATTAGATTAGAGTTGAGTGGACCTGGAGTACAATATATAGCAGATAACCAATTATATAACAGTATTATAACTGCTCATGCTATATTGATGATATTTTTCATGGTTATGCCTGCAATGATAGGTGGATTTGGTAATTTCTTATTACCTTTACTAGTAGGAGGACCTGATATGGCTTTCCCTAGATTAAACAACATAAGTTTTTGATTATTACCCCCTAGTTTAATTTTATTTATCTTCGCAAGTACAATAGAAAACGGAGCTGGTACAGGTTGAACACTTTACCCTCCTCTTTCAGGTATTCAAAGTCATAGTGGACCAAGTGTAGATTTAGCTATATTTGCTTTACACTTATCAGGAATAAGTAGTTTACTAGGTGCTATGAATTTTATAACTACAATTTTAAATATGAGAGCACCTGGTATAAGATTACATAAGTTAGCTTTATTTGGTTGAGCAGTAGCTTGTGACAGCGGTATTGTTACTATTATCATTACCGGTATTAGCAGGTGGTATTACCATGGTTTTAACTGATAGAAACTTTAATACATCGTTCTTCGAAGTAGCTGGTGGTGGAGATCCTATATTATACCAACACCTTTTCTGATTCTTTGGACATCCCGAAGTTTATATATTAATTATACCCGGATTTGGTATCATAAGTACAACTATAAGCGCTAGTTCTAATAAAAACGTGTTTGGTTACTTAGGTATGGTATATGCTATGATGTCTATAGGTGTTTTAGGTTTTGTAGTTTGAAGTCATCACATGTATAGTGTAGGATTAGACGTAGATACTAGAGCCTATTTTACAGCAGCAACTTTAATTATAGCAGTACCTACAGGTATTAAAATATTCAGTTGATTAGCTACTTGTTACGGAGGATCTATACACTTAACTCCAGCCATGTTATTTGCTTTAGGTTTCGTGTTTATGTTCACGATAGGTGGTTTATCGGGGGTTATATTAGCCAATGCATCACTTGATATTGCATTTCACGATACTTACTATGTAGTTGCACATTTCCATTATGTATTAAGTATGGGAGCAGTTTTTGCTTTATACAGTGCCTGATACTTTTGAATACCTAAAATATTAGGTTTGAGCTACAACATATTGTTAGGTAAAGTTCATTTTTGATTACTTTTTATAGGTGTTAATGTGACTTTTTTCCCTCAACATTTTTTAGGTTTACAAGGTATGCCTAGAAGAATTAGCGATTACCCTGATGCTTTTGCAGGTTGAAACTTAATCAGTAGTTATGGATCAATAATATCGGTGATAGCTACCTTAATATTCTTAGTTATAACTTATAACCAACTAGTAGAAGGTAAAGCAGTATCAAGATACCCATGGTCAACGCCTCAATTTTATACAGATTTCTTACAAACTCTTTTAAGCAGAGCATATGGTAGTTTAGAGTGAGCTCTAAATAGCCCACCCAAACCTCATGCTTTTGCAAGCTTGCCGTTACAAAGTAGTTTATCTCTTTTATAAGCACTTTAGTCTAAAAAAAAACAGGTATAACTAATAAAAGATCTTACGCCGATTCTAGTTATGAATCAAGTTCTGATTCAGATTATGATTCAGGTTCTGAATATGGTTCTAATTCATTATAAGATGGTCAACTGAATACCCTTAGAATTTATCTTCATAATAAAACCCGAGGTGATCTCGCTAGAGTTGATCCTAATAATCCACTTAAGGTAGATAGAACTAAGAATTTAGGAGGGTATTGTAATACAGTTCCTCAGGTTTATTAGTATTTTGATACTAAAACGCGTAATGTTTCACAGTGGCACAGGCTGGACAGTATATCAGCTAGTGGTAATAATGTACCAGTTCAAGTACTTAAAACTTGGTTGGATGTAAAGAATAATTTGTTGATTGAATTTTTTGATCAAAAAGAAAGAATGTTTTACACTTATTCTTTAACATCATAAGTGGGAGTAGTAATAGTGCTTCAGAAACAACTGAAAATACTATTACCCCCTTCCAGTACTAATAATACTGGTGATAATAACAGTAGTACAGGAAATAGTGTTAACCCTTCCTGTAGTAATAAAAATAGCTATAATAACAGTACTGAAAACAGTTACGTTTTTCAGGGCAGTCCTGATGTTTATCATTCAGGTTTTGATACTTCTTATTATTACGATCACTAAGTAGTAGTAGCAAAACTACATATTTTTGTTAGTTTACCTATAAAATAGGACGATAAACAAAAAAAAAGTGCATATATACAAAAAAAAAAAAAACAAAATTTTTACTCCAAGTTTAGTTTTTATTAGTATTAATAGAAATAATAATAAAAAAAAATACATATATTATACTGCGTTAGTGCATACCCCCTATTGATTTAAATTAGAAATATATTATATAAAACAAATAAATGACAAGTCAAACTTTCTTCTTTATTTTTGTACCTATTCTAGCAGGTATATTACTTTCAATTAATTTAATATTGGCTCCTCATAACCCTTATGGGGAAAAGGACAGTGTGTTTGAATGCGGCTTTCATTCATTTCTGGGCCAAAATAGAAGTGAATTTAGTATATCTTTTTTTATATTTGCTTTGCTTTTCTTACTATTCGATTTAGAAATATTACTTGTTTATCCTTATGTAGTTAGTGCTTATGTTAATAGTATATTTGGTCTAATCGTAATGTTAGTATTCTTCTTAGTTTTAACTTTAGGTTTCGCTTTTGAGCTAGGTAAAAATGCTTTATCTATAGAAAGTAAACAATCTTTTTACAAAATATAAAATATTTAAACGTTAAACAGGTATATAACACCTTTTTATATCTTTAAAAACAAAAAAAAAAACAACCATATAAACTTCCAAGTATCGTTATTTTACTTACTTTATATACTTAATATAATTGTGACACATATATGGGATAAGCAGTATACAACCGTATCACAAGTAACTAAAACATGAATATAATTAGTTATGTAAACAGCTATAGGTTAATGGTAGACCGTTCGTCTTCCAAACGAAGTGCATCGATTCGAATTCGGTTAGCTGTATTATAGTAAAAACCTATAAAATAAGTTATTACTATACAAAAGGGTAATAAAGTTATTAATCCAATTTATAGCTTTTTCACGAAGAGTTAATAACTTAATTGGTAAAGAACTTTCTTGTCGAGAAAGTAGATGTCGGATCGTAGCCGGCTTAACTCGAAAATGTTTTACTTTTTAATTATAATTCATAACTTTTGGTCTAATATATTCTTATTTTTACTTTGTTAAATAGCTTAAAATACTTATATAATTAAAACTAGTTTTAATTATTTGTTAAACTAAACCGTATTTAGCTTTAATTAATATTATTTAAAATACTTGTGGTTTAATAAGGTTATAGCTTAATTGGTAAAGCTAGCTGCTCATGATAGCTCAGATGAGTGTTCGAATCCCTCTGGCCTTAAAAAAAAAACAAACTTACATACGGTTTATTTAAATTAACCTATGTTAACATATCCTAGTGCTGGAATTGGTAGACAGGGAAAACTTAAGCTTTTCTGATACAATATCGTGAACGTTCGAGTCGTTCCTTGGATAAACAGAAAAAAAAATCATTTTAACCTGTAATAAGTTAATTTTTTATATGTAATGACCTACAGGTTTACTTACCGTATATATTATTAAGTAAATCATGGTTTAACTATATAAACCATTGTTTTATAAATGTGTATAGAAAATATTAATTATATACAGTTTTTGTGTATAAAGCCTTTTATTTATATATCTATCTATATTATTTAACCCTAAAGCTATATATATTTTTTTTTTAATCAAGATCCACTAGTCAAGCGGTTAAGACATGACATTTTCACTGTCACATGCCTGGGTTCGAACCCCAGGTGGATTAAAGTACAAAATTAATATATAATAACTTAAGGGGGACATAGTTTAATTGGTAAAACTGCGATTTTGCATATCGTTATTTTAGGTTCAAGTCCTAATGTCTCCACGCATATTACATAAGTATGTAAATTCATTTAGAGTTAATATTATAAATAACTATTTACGATAGGTTTAATGTTATACAATATATATGCCCGAGAAGCTCAATTGGTTGAGCGGAGCTCTGAAGATGCTTAGGTTATAAGTTCAAGTCTTATCTCGGGCAAGGTAATAACAAACATACTAGTATAATAACTTTTACTTATAATACAAATAGGTATGCTGGAATTGGTAGACAGGTTCCATTTAGGATGGAATGGATAGTATCCGTGCAAGTTCGATTCTTGTTACCTATAAGTATTTATAAAAAGAAAGGGTAAGGCATAACGTAGGGGCTTGCCTTTTTACATATATAAAAATGTAAGTAAATAAATACTAGAAGTTATGGTAAAAGAATTGGTGAATGGTCACCTTATATGTTGTAGACTAATCGGTAAGTCATGAGTTTTTGATACTTATCATTGAGTGTTCGAATCACTCCAACATAACATTATTTATATAATTTAATTTAATCTAATCTGATGTAATGTAATAGCATATTAAACATAATTATACCTTTTTATAACTATACTTATTTTATACTTTATATATAATTTATAAGTTTATTAGTAGATTGTGTTATAACACAAATAACAAGTTATATACTAGTTATTAATTTTAATTTTTATTATAATAAAAATTAAAATTATATAGGTATTCATTAAGATAAATAGATATTTTTAGAGTTATGTGTTTATGCGTACATTAAATACCCATGATATAATATGTTATATACATTTGTGTTAATAGTTATAAAACGTATAAACTAAAAATACAAAAGAAAAAGTAATTATAAATCGTATAAATTGTAAATAATATTAGAAAAAGGTGATTATAGCTCAATAGGTAGAGCGACTGTATGTGGCACAGTAGGTTCTCTGTTCAAATCAGGGTATTCACCCTGGTATTATATAATACAATATAATACAATAGATATTGTATACATTAAAAATATACCATATATTTAAAAGAAGTCATTATATAAATATTTTATATGTTTTGATAATTAAAAACAGTTTTAATGTAACTATAATATAATTATTAGTTTTTAATGTTATAATGATAAAGACTTATAGGTGAAAATGTATTGATATATATAAAATTTAAATATTTAAATATAACATACTGCATAATATATTAATATATGGAGTTAAATGTACTGTATATTAAAGTGATTTTACGCAATACACTATAAATCGTTTTTATAATACTTTTTAAAATTAATTCTATTACATGATATATATTTTTTTTTATATCTACGTATTTTTTATATATTACAGTTTGGGTAGTTCAATTGGTTAGAACGTTAATTTCATGCATTAAAGATGAGAATTCGATTTTCTCCCCTGACTTAAACTTATTTAAACTTAAATCAACTTATATATATATTTAAATAAACCTTATGTATATTATTTAATGCAACTTTAAATTAAAAGGAATTAGCTCAATTGGTGGAGCAACCGTTTTACACACGGAAGGTTAGGTGTTCAAGTCACCTATTCCTTATGGTTATAAACCTATAAAACTTTTATTAATACTTTGTGATAAATGGTGTACAAACATAGCTAAGTATAGTATATTTATATATAACGTGCTCAAATAAACGAGTTTTTAAGTTGATTATATATACTTCTCTTACAGCTATAAGTTGGAACAATCTGGTGCTCATAACATAAAATTATAGGTAAAAACTTAGGTATTTTAGCAGGAAATATGTATTTTATTAATTATAGTAATAAAGCTATTTGGTATTTAAATCCTTTACTGAGCTTTAGTTTAGTTTTATGTACTGATATCTTAAACCAGTTTATATTTATCCTAGTAGTTTATAAGTTAACACATTTTTACAGAAAAAAAAAGTTTTTATTAAAAGTTTAACGGGGATTAATGTAATGGTTAACATAATGGGCTCATGTCCCGTAAATGAAGGTTCGAATCCTTCGTCCCCCTTACTACCTGCAAGTTATAGTTTATGACTAATATGTAAATACAATAGTAAAACATATAGGGATAAACAAAAAATTGTTTATAACTTTATAAGCGTTTATTTAATTTTGGTCAAGTAATGAATAATTTAATTTTGTATACAACTTTAATTGTTTATAAATACATGTATTATTTCTTTATAGTAAAAAACTTTATGTATTTGTTATTAAAATTGCTTAGTATAAATTATATATAGGTACTTAAAGGAGAGTTCCTTTATTGGTAAGAAGGGTTGAGCTGTAAACTCAATAGTTATGTACTTTTAAGAGTTCGAATCTCTTGTCTCCTAAATAAGATTTAGCCGTATAAATACTATACACAGCCTTTATAGCTCAAAGGTAGAGCGGAATACTGTTAATATTCTGATATATGTTCGATTCATATTAAGGGCTGAAAAAAAAAGTACTATATATTAAAAATATAAGGTTAACCATTTGTATGATAAATCTTAAAATATACCATATATATAATCTTTACATATTTCATTAACCACAAAGAAAAAGAAAGAGACAACAAATACATTTAACCTCTTTTATTTACCAGTTAATTTAAATGTTAAAATAAATAAATTAGTTATATATACATGCGTGTTAGCTCAATTGGTAGAGCATTGTGCTACGGACACAAAGGTTTCAAGTTCAAATCTTGTACACGTAGAATTAAATATAGTATTACTATATAATGTTATAGTAATTAAGATAAATTAAACATATTTTTGTGTCATATTTTTATTCTTATTATTTATGTAAAAATAATATAAAAACATGGGGTGTGTTGTAAAAGGTTTTACATTTTGATTGCAGATCGAAAATTTAAGGTTCGACTCCTTCATACCTCTAAATACAACAATTAAAAAACATAATAATGTAATAGATTATTTATGTTAGGACAACATAGTTTTAGGTTTACCTAAGTTATATCTTTATTATTAAGCATTTTTATTATTTTTCACGTCAGTTTTTTGTTTATGTAACGTAATTTTTTCATTATTCTTTATTTTTACTTATTTTTTTTATATAAATAAAATAGAAAAATTAGTTTGTAATTTATATTTCTAATATTTTTTTTGTTAATAATTAATTTTAGATACTATAAAAATAATTATATTTTTATTATAAAAAGCCTATTTTATTGTTATTTATTTATTAAATATTATAAACTTAAATAATAATTATTATGTTTACTTAATTCTTACTAGCTCAATGGTAGAGCAGGATACTTCTAATATCTAGATCTGGGTTCGATTCCTAGGTAAGAATCAAAGCTAAGAATTAAAAGTGATTTTTAGCTTTGATCAGCAGGTTTAAAATCAATCTTTAGATAAGGTAATGCTTTTAATTGTTTTTTATTCTTTTTTTTTTATACTACTAGGTAACTGTAAATACATACAGTTAAAATCTAAATTATCTTCCTTTAAAATACAACTTCAGATGAGGTATTACTGTTTATTACAGCCATATTATAATAACAATATATATATATGCCACAATTAATACCATTCTATTTTATGAATCAAGTTGCATTTGCTTTTACTGTTTTAGTTATATTAATTTATGTTTTTTCTAAGTACATCTTACCTAGATTTGTTCGTTTATTTTCTACTCGTTTATTTATAAGTAAATTATAATTAAATAAATATTTATACTAATTTCTGTTAATACAGGTTTATATAAATATAAAATAGCTTTTTAAAGATATATTAATACATTAATTTATGATGACAAATTTTATAACCAGTCCTTTAGATCAATTTGAAATTAGAAGCCTATTTAGTATAGATGCCCCTATATTAGGTCATTTATCTTTATCCTTAACTAACATAGCATTTTACTTAATTATAGCTGGTTTTTTAGTATTAGTAATCAGTTTAATCTCTACCAATAACAATAAAGTAGTGTCAAACTCTTGATCTATTTACTTAGAATCAATATATACTACAATACACAGTATAGTTATAAACCAAATAAATAATAAGAAAGGACAAGCATATTTCCCTTTTATGTACGTTTTATTTATGTTTATATTAATGAATAACTTAATCGGATTAGTACCTTATAGTTTCGCGCCTACAAGCCACTTTGCTTTAACTTTCTCCTTAAGTTTCACAATCGTTTTAGGTGCAACTATCTTAGGTTTAAGTCAACATGGTTTAAAGTTCTTTTCTTTATTCGTACCAGCTGGTTGTCCTCTAGCTTTGTTACCATTACTGGTTTTAATTGAATTTATCTCATATCTGGCCAGAAATGTTTCGTTAGGTTTAAGATTAGCAGCTAATATATTATCTGGACATATGCTTTTAAACATTCTTAGTGGGTTTACTTATAATATAATGAGTTCAGGTATTTTATTTTTCTTTGTAGGTATCTTCCCTTTAGGTTTTATTATAGCATTCTCAGGACTAGAGTTTGCTATAGCATTTATACAAGCCCAGGTGTTCGTAGTTTTATCATGTTCTTATATAAAGGACGCATTAGAGTTGCATTAATGCCTGACAAAGTACGTATATATTTATATAATGTGTGTGGAATATGGCGTAACCGTATTAATAGGTACTTAATATAATGGTGCGCCTATGTCTCCCGAATTTCCCTTATATTATGAAACTAAATATTTATGTAAGGCTATAGTGACCGGGGGTTAAGCGTTCAATAATGTCATCGAATAGTGCCATTCGATTAAGTAAACTGAAATCTTTATGTAACCCTCGTACCTATATATTGCTTTTAAAGATATTCCCTAATATACCTGGAACATTTGGTGCCGATATTATATCGGACAATAAAAATCATATTATTATATTTATACCTAAAGGTAGATATTATACCAAATTTCTACGTGCTTTATCTGGTAGAATATAAAAGTAAATAATTAACACCGTATCATTGCTAACAAAAAAAACAAAAAAAAAAATAAAAAACAAAAATTTTTTTATGGTTAGACTTATAATAATAACACTATTACTATCAAACGCACTTTCTACAAATATATTAAAACATCTATTTTATTCAGGTTCTGTTACCTTATGTTTAATAAGCATTATTATAACGGTTAATTTAGATGTATCTACTATAGGTTTAGGTACACAGGGTTTAGAATTATTTTATTCGTTCGTACCCGCTGGTAGTACTCTAGCCTTGTTATCATTACTCGTTTCAAAAAAAACACAGTGTATATTATTTGGACATATGTTTTTTAATACAATTAGCCTATTTACTTATAATATAATGAGATATATTCTCATCTTTCCCTTAGGCATTTATTATAACATTTTTGGTTCGAGGTTGAGATTATCGGGTTTAACTTATAGACTGAGTTATTATTTAGTTAATTATGTTAAAGGCCGTTTACTAAGCTACATAGAATCTTACTTATCTGGTTTAGAAAAGTACCTACACAAATATTTAGTTGATACTAATAAGGACTTTTTAGGTAAATTATCTAAATTCACTCTTTTTGCCGTTAAGATAGCATGTACATATAAATGAGTAATTACTTTAACGTTATCCATGTTTTGTATTTATTCAATAAACTTATGTATTTATCCGTGTTATTTAAATGGACTTATACTTTTAAGTTTACTTTTTAGTGTATTAGCACCTCTTTATATATGCTTTAACTCAAATCTATATAAAAAGTATCCTCGTCTCTGTATGGCTATAACTGGTGTGTGTTTTTTATCATTTATCTGTTTGTTCTTTTACTTTATTATTCTCTTATATGATTATCTATTTTTTATTTATAAAGTATACATAGGTAAAGGTAAAGAACCTATTTATAACGATAAAGCTGAAGGTTCTGGTTCAAGTCAACAACCTCAACGGGGACCTGGCGGTAGTCCCACCCCTCATACGAATTCAACTCCTAATAAGGATAATGATGATGATTCTTCACGTGAAAAAGAAGCTGATCTATTTAATCCTACTGAGAATAAATCTACTGCTCAGGAGCAGGCTGGTTTTTCTAACTTTTCTGTACCTTCTAACACTGCTGTACCCTTTAATGGGGATGACGAGGATGACTCATATAAAGCACCTAGCCCATCACCTAGCCTATCAGACAGTTCTACTGAATATTTTAGAGATGATCATGGTGATGGCCCTGCTGATAATTATGTACCTGCTGTGAGTTACCTACCTGATAGAGATTTAGCCCCTCATATTAGTTATGTACCTGCTAATAATAACGGCCCTGCTGTGGGGGAGGCTGGTCCATCTAACTGAGCAGAAAACAATTCAACTGCTCAGGGCTACTCAGGACCATATACAAAAAAAAGGTCACTTTCTAGTACGATAAAGAATGATACTATAACAGAAGCATATAAAAACAATAAAAGACGCAAAGATAGTGATACTTAAGCTTGTATTATTTAGTAATATAAAACATCTGCGATAATTACATATATAATTATTTTTTAAAATATCTATATATACCGTTACAGCTGAAGTTTTTTATAAATAATAGTTCTTTTATATACGGGTGTTTTAGGTTTATCTAGTATTATATTTTAAATACAATTAGTCTAGCTTTTATATGAAAAGTATATTAATGATACTTTAAATATAATTAGTTTAGCTTATACATTATATTTTACTAACATTACAATAATATATTCTTTTAATAATTAGCTGCTTAAAAAAAAAACCTACTAGCTCAAAGGTTGAGATAGATATTTTTAATATCTTATATAGGTTCGATTCCTAGGTAAGGATTAAAGTTATTTTTGTTAGCTAGTAATAAAAATAAATAAAAATAAATATTATTTTATAGTTTTATATATGTACATACAATATAAAACTTTTTAACTAAACTACAAGTATAGGTTTATATTTTATACAAATTTTCTTTTCTATATATTATTAAAATATGAGAATATGAAAAAGTCATTCCCTTTTAAGCCTAGTTAATGGCTATTTAGTAGATGCACCACAACCAAGTAATTTAAGTTACTTATGAAATTTTGGATCTTTACTAGGATTTTGTCTAATGATACAAATAATAACTGGAGTTACTCTGGCTATGCATTACAACCCTAGTGTGTTAGAAGCATTTAACTCAGTTGAGCATATTATGAGAGATGTAAATAATGGATGATTAATACGTTATTTACATTCTAATACAGCTTCTGCTTTTTTCTTCTTAGTGTACCTACATATTGGAAGAGGATTATACTACGGTTCCTACAGAGCACCAAGAACATTAGTTTGAACTATAGGTACAGTAATATTCATCTTAATGATGGCTACAGCCTTTCTGGGTTATGTTTTACCTTACGGACAAATGAGTTTATGAGGAGCTACAGTTATAACTAATTTAATGAGTGCAATACCTTGAGTGGGACAAGACATAGTTGAGTTCTTGTGAGGAGGTTTTTCTGTTAACAATGCTACGTTAAACAGATTCTTTGCATTACATTTTGTATTACCATTTGTACTTGCTGCTTTAGTTTTAATGCATCTTATAGTATTACACGATAACGCTGGTTCAAGTAATCCATTAGGTGTTTCAAGTAACTATGATAAATTACCTTTTGCTCCTTACTTTATATTTAAAGATTTAATAACTATATTCCTATTCATAATAGTATTATCTGTTTTTGTTTTCTTTATGCCTAATGTATTAGGAGATAGTGATAACTATATTATGGCTAACCCTATGCA